CTGTAGCACCATTGCCATCCACTCTCTGAGCTGTAAACACCACCATATCAGTTGCAATTTCGTCTGGACTAATCAAACTGCCAGAACTTGGTAGGGCCAAATGATCAACCCTACGATAAACTTTTGCATCCTGCGGTCCTCCCTTCCTCTTGTAAAAAGGCCTCTTCTTTGGGGAGTTGACCTCTTCCTCCCCCCTAGGCTTGCTGTTCGACGATGTTGCATCTTTTTTGCTAGCTGTTGTGTTTTGAGTTTTCTTAGACGAGCCATCCCCCGAACTAGCACCCTTCCTGTCCTCCGGCGCTCGCAAGTTTGTAGTAAACAACGGCGACCTCACTGTTTGCATATTGACTTAACGAAACGAGACATGTGTATTTTTGTTATGAAGGGACTGAATAAAAGCTGAATTGTTGTCCACAAGGACTCGAATTCAGATAGTGGTTGCACGTCCATTCCGCTCACTTTTTCACTTGTATTTTAGTAAATGGGAAGGTTAGTAGAAAAATTTCAGTGCGAAAAAAGTTGTGACTTGAGACACGATAGGTATGAAACTAGTGTTCTTCATATTCATCACATGCATCTCTATAGAATTTTAAATAAATAGATAAAGCGCTTACATCGATGTAAGCTTAATCATACAGTTATCATACTGGAGTACTTGCCATAAAGTATAGCTGAATGTGCGCATGCACCGGACGACGGGGAGTGACGAACGTGTGAGCTCCTAGTCTTGGGCCGGCCCAAAATAGGGGCGCTTCGAAAAGGGGAAAAATAACGGGAAAAGGCGCGCACAGAGTGATTTGAACAGGCGACCTCATGTTTCATGGTAGCCTGCACTAACCACTCGACCACGTAGGAGCGGTTCACAGGTTCAATCTTTAAATAATTTGTATTGTATCATCTTTCCTTTTTTTCGATTTTTTGTTTTCTGTTTTTTTCTTTTTTTTCTTCCTTCTTTGATGATTTCTTTCAAATTCGTGAAATCTTTCAAATCGATGAACTTTTTTCATTTTTCGATGAACTTTTTTTAAAATTCAAATGAAATTTGAAAAAAGTTCACAAATTTAAATTTGTTCATATGTTTTGAAACAAGTCCTCAAATTTGATAAAAGCTCATTAATTTTGAAGAAAAATTCATTGAGTTTGATAAAAGTTTGTCGAATTCCAAAAAAAGTTCGTTGAATTCGGAAAAAAGTTCATCGAATTCGAAAAAAGTTCATTGAATTTGATAGAAGTTCATCGAATTTGGAAAAAAATCATTGAATTTGAAAATAGTTCGTCGAAATTGAAAAAAAGTTCATCAAATTTGAAAAGGTTTATAGAATTTTAAAATAGTTCATCAAATTCAAAAATAGTTCACCGGTTTGAAGAAAAAGTTCATTCAATTTTTAAAAGTGTGTGTATATTTGAAAAAAAGAACAAGAAAAGAAACAGAAAAATAAAGAAAAAAATATAGAAAATACAAACAAGAAAGAAAAAAAGAAACAAAAAGAAAGAACAAAAAGGGCAAGTGGGAGAAAACTAAACACACAACTTATGTTGTCCCAGGTGTTTTGTGCAACTGCGAACCAACCTGTGGTTGAGATGGTTAGGTGGACAGTGGTATTCCCAACCCACCTCGGAGGTGCTCATAGGGACGGGGTGTGCGTGTGTACGTTCATAGGGATGAGTGTATGCGCGTGTATATGAGCACTTGTGTCTTTACTGATGCTAAAAAAAGGTGTTTTGTGCAGCTTGTCGTGAGCGAAGAGGTCGCAGGTTTGATTCCTTAATCGTGCGGTGCCTGCTTTTTTTCAGTTTTTACAAAAACAGTGAAGGAAACCAACTGGGCCGGTCCAATCACGGCAAGAGGACGTGCACTGCAAGCGCCTGTTAGCAAAATGGCCTATAACAGGCGCCCGCATCGTCAAACAGGGTTTGCCGACGAACGTTGTTAGGAGCCTCCTAGCCTGCACCTGTCATGGGCTTGTCTCCTGGATTTGGCATGTGGGCCTAACCCATGTGTGATCCACCCGCTGCACACTTGTGCTTTAGCAAAATGGCCTATAACGGGCGCCCGCATCGTCAAACAGGGTTTGCCGACATCTGACTTGATATCTGGAGAAGCAACGAGCGACTCATCCGCGGATCAGCTTCTTCCCCTACCTCTGGCAGTGTGGCTCTCTGTTCCCGTCTCCTCCATTCCTTCCTCCCCACGAACATTGTAAAGAGCATTTTCTCGGTAATCTTGTGAGATAGTGTGTAAGATCGATCGGGACTCTAACAAACGTCCGTCTGGATCCTGCTTACGAGAGTGCAAGGTCGCAGTGCCGGTGCGGCGGGCACTCCGGCTCTGCTGCTCGGGTGCTGGACTCATCAGGAGCAGGGGCACGCAGAGGAGACGGGGAAAGCAACTAGTTAACGAGCGCTCCTTCGATAGCCTCGCAACGATCAGTATGCTCTCAGCCATTCGTCCCGTGTCGTGCTCTGATGCTCCCTCCGATTTTTTTTTATTTTTTTCCGCATGCGTTTTCGGCTTTTAAACTCTTTTCTTCGGGTTTTTCGATGTTTCGGTTTTCCACATGTCTTCCTTAGTTTTTTGATTAAAAAAATTAATTTTCTTTTTTTTCACGAAAAACGTGTTTTTATTTTTTTTCCTTTCGCGAGAGTCACGGCCGTGCCTATCGGAAATGAAAAAAAACGCGTTTTTTGTTTTTTTTTTTCTTTCGCAGGAGTCACGATTTTGCTTCCACGAGAGGCACGGGTGTGCTTTCGGGAGTGTCACGGCCGTGCCTCTCGGAAACGGAAATAAAATGTTTTCTATTTTTTTTCTTTCGCGAGATTCACGGTTTTGCTTCCGCGAGAGGCAGGGTTGTGCTTTAGCTAGAGTCATGGTCGTGCCTCTCGGAAACGAAAAAAACACATTTTCTGTTTTTTTTTCTTTCGCGAGAGTCATGGTTTTGCTTCCGCGAGAGGCACGGTTGCGCTTTAGCGAGAGCCACGGTCGTGCCTCTCGAAAACGTAAAAAAAGAATCCATTTTGTGTTTTTTTTCTTTCGCGAGAGTCACAGTTTTGCTTCTGTGAGAGGCGCGGTTGTACTTTCGCGAGAGTCACGGCAGTGCCTCTCGGAAATAGGAAAAAAATGCGTTCTTTTTTTGTTTTGCGAGGGTCACAGTTTTGCTTCCGCGAGAGGCACGATTGTGCTTTCGCGAGAGTCATGGCCGTGCCTCCTCGAAAACAAAAAAAACGTGTTTTCTCTTCTTTTTTCCTTCCGCGAGAGTTACGGTTTTGCTTCCCCGATAGGCATGGTTGTGATTTCGTGAGAGGCACGGGCGTGCCTCTTTCGGAAAGGGAAAAAACCCGTGCTCCCGGTTCGGTTTTTTCATCCGGTTTTTTTCGTCCGGTTTTTTGTGAAAAAAAGTTCATCAAAACCTATCAACATTGGATCTAGTTTTGAAAATCTCGACTCGAGAAATCCAACGGTGAAAGCAGTTTGAGATTTGGAAGCACGGTTTGAGAGATAAAACGTTTTGAATAAACGGATCTACGAAAAAAAGAAAAACTTTCAGATTGCAACAAGTGGCGCGCTGCATGTGTGCCACTTGTCGCAGGCCGAAGAGTTGGAGTAATCTTTGTAACGAGTACTCCTCAACTAATGATTTCGGGAGACGGGGGAGGAATGATGGCGGGGCCGGGTAGATGGGTCTGGCCATGAGAAGCCCACTATTGGTTTTCTCAGTGGGCTGGCGCGGGCATTTTCTCGGCTGATCTTCGCCCAATGCGAGTATTATTTTGATTCTAAAAAAAGAGGATTATTTGAGCTACTGCAATGATTAAAAAAAAAGAACTGACCTACTGTAAGAGAGGTTACATTCAGTGAAGTCACTAGGACTACCTAATGTGCATGCTTTCCATAAAAAAAGGTACTAGTGTGCATGCGTACATTACCTGTGATTCGGTAAAGCCAGTGTGAGCTTGAGTGTTTCAGTCAGTCCATGGAAGGGTCATTCAGTGTGAGATGAGGTTCCACCATCCCAACTTTTTCCTTCCCATTCCATAATTCCTCCCAAGTGCAAAGATTCAGTGTGAGATGAGGTTCCACCATCTCAACTTTTTCCTTCCCATTCCATAATTCCTCCCAAGTGCAAAGAAATCTCAATACTTGGCATGTTTGAACGCGCTCTTTTGAGACATGCTCAGAGTATGAATAGAATGTCTGTTTAGGACACATCTAGATGTGACATACTTATGTCACATTTAAGCTGATTTTCACTCTGGTTGTGCTTTATTTATTTATTTATTTTGTTCAAGTTTTTTTTGTTTCTTGTTGCTGCATTATATATTTGTGGGAGCTTAGATTTGACATCCTTAAAAAACATCTAGATGTGAATTAGACAAACTGATAGAAGAACAGACAAACATTGGGAGCTATCCATCACTACTTGTTGGGTAAGAGTGCAAATCCAGATGTGTAAGACAGCAACTGTGTTATTTCTAATATGAAGTGATAAATTCTCAGATTATTCAGCAGGCAGTATTTGTTGGGGTTGACAGGTTGATGTACCACCAGCAGATTCTTCTTCTTCATGAGGCTCCAACATCTGACACCTGCTGGCCGAGGTATCCATCCCCATGTCTCTGGCCACATATATGGTACATTGGTACATCACCATTATAAAATTTCTCAACATATGCAAGGAAGCTGCACCCTTACCTTTGCATCATCAACACTCTGCTTTTCAGATGGTCGCGACGCAGCAACATCACTTGGGTATTCAAGGAAGGAAAACTGCACTGCATTCTCAACTTTGGGAATCCAGATACGGAATCAAACTTCCGTGTGTAAATGAAGAGACTGTAATTTCTCAGGTTATTCTGCTGGTATTTCTTGGGGTCGAGCGGAAGATGCACCAGCAGCTTCTTTCCATACCCTTCCAAGCATGCATCTATCTAGCAGTTCAGATCACATATTCACCAAGTTATAAAATCACGTAGATCGAGGAGGAAACCCGTTGATCACATATTCACCAGCAGCTTCTGACCTTTGGGTGGCAATACATTATGACAACTACAGGGTAAAACATTTGTACAAATGACCATAATCACAACTGACTCTTACAAAACCCATCGATGCTACATAATTCAACACGGGGCATACTACAAGCATGATCAAACAACAGACGAAAAGACTGCCAGGCATCAAGCTGGACTAGCGCATCAAGCTCCGCACAATGGGCGAAGGATACGAACGGTAGATGGGTAATACAGACACCTGGTTATGTATGAATAATGAGATAATAGTTTGTCGGATTATTCAGCCGGTTGTATTTCTTGAGGTCGACAGGTAGATGTGCTAGCAGCAGCAGCAGCTTCACGTGGCCTTGAGCGTCTGAAGGGTGGTGGATCTTTGCTCCCAGGTGTCTGGTAGGTCACATACTCACATAGTTATAATATTTCCAGGCTTTGGCATCAGTTTAGAACAATAATACTAGATAAGTACACAGATAAACAGAACATTACAACAAAAATAACACAAAAAAATTCCACGGATAAGCAAATAACAATGAAATGCACAGTAGCGGTGCTGACCTGCGAAGTCGATGGAGCAGCACCAGCATTTACTTCTCCACTTGAAGGCTCCGTCCTCTGCAGCCTCTCCGGCAAGGTCTCCATCCCCATGTGCGACAGCAGAAGCCAGACATAGGTGAGTAACTCTATGCCGGTGCCCAGACTCTTGGCATGTAGGTACCCTCGGCAGTTACTGGCCGAGAAGCAGAGCATCTCCACCCACACACCTTCAATCACCTCCCACATCTTCTCATCACCTAAAGCCAACAATACCTTAGAAATCTCCCAGGCATCGTGGATGAAACGTTCTTGTGTAGCTGGATTTTTCTGTCTGTTGGGCGGTAATTTTGCTGATCCTACAACTTCTGCAACTTGTTTTTTGCGCTCTGCGAGCTCCATCCTGCTGATTAATATCTGCATAATTCCTCCTTCAATTTCTTTTTCGATCTTGAGAATCTCTGACATTTTGTAATTGGTGATCTCCAGAATTGTAGTTTTTCTCGTGAGGATCTGCTTGAGCATTGATATGTTGCCATTGAGGATCTGCTTGACCTTTGACATTTGACCCTTGATGATATCCAACATTGAAATATCACGCTGGAAGATCTCCTTGAGCGATGGCTTGTCGCTCTTGAGAATCTTTTTGAGTGATGGCTTGTCAGGCTTCAGAATGTCTTCAAGTTTATCATTGGCAGTATTTAACAGAAACCGTCGGGTGCCTGCCATGAGCATCTCAGGATTGACAAACAGTAGGTATGCCATGTAATTGGACATTTGTCTGCAACAATCAGGTCTTTCATGACAAGGGGAGCTTTCACACCATGCAGCACTACCGTGATGTTGAACAGAGGCATCATCTTGGTTACATTGAGCAGTGGCACACTGGTAATCAGCTGATGCGCCCATGTAGTTTTTTTAGATAATGGAGGAGATATCTCCTCCTGCCTCCGTGCGACCATGTAGAAGCAGAAATATGTGGTGATGTGCCAGAGAAGGACACTCTCGTCGAACGGCCTCCTTAAGCTCCAACCCAGGACTTCACACTTATTGATCTCAAGAGTCCGCTGGCCTCTGGAATGGTTGAACTTCAAGTAATCCTTGTCATCATTTATTTGTTGTGCCCACCCTTTCTTCACATACTTCAGAACCAACCCTATAATGGCAATGGATGAGTCACGGGGCCACATGCACCAATGCTGGTCAAGGAAGTCCTTTCCTCCAAAGAAACTCAAGATGCTCATCATCATTGTGTGCCTTTGGTTGCGGGCAAAGAATCCTATGAGGCTATATTGGGAAACCGAGCGAGACAATTTGAAATCACCAAAACCAAGAGAGGCATAGGCATATGCCTCCAGCAACGCGGTACAGGTAAACAGGGCAATTGTAACATTGACATCCTGATCATTATAAGATTCCCTGTGACTGTTGTGGAAGAGCCCGATGGCTGCTAATGGCAGGGCTATAGCTGCTAACCTTACGAAGGCAGGAAGGAATTCCAACAAACTTGGGTCTTTTTTGCCTTTTGAGTTACCCCAGAAGGAGCGAACCATCTTCATTTTGGTGTAGAGAAGGTTGAACGTGTCGGATAGCCATTTCTCTAACAGTGCATAAGTTAGTTTCTCATCAAGAACCCAGAAGGCTTTTAGGACACCAAGCCGATTAGGATACGGGGATGCAAGATCCACAAATAGCTTGTGATATGCCTCATCCTCAAGGTCCACTGAGCCACCTTGTTGTCGTGTTTGAAGGCGATGGTTGGCCTCAAGGTCCACTCGATCACATTCTCCTTGTGCATGACGATGATGGTCCTTGACAAAATCCCTTGCTTTTTGCACGTAATCCCCAAGGTCCATTCGTCTTCTTGAAGTCTGAGGATGATGGCCGTCGTCAAGTTCTGCAGTGACGGAGCCTTCTCCTTGTGCTTGAGGTGGATGATCAGCACCATGGTCCACTGCAGCACCTTCTCGTTGTGCTCGAGGACTACAGCTACGGGTCAAGACTATAGCCCTTGCTCGTTGCATGTAGCCTCCCAGTAAACTGATCCTCCACGGAGCTTGTCCAGGGCGGCCAGAAGACTTGGCCAAGCTGTAAATGCTAGCTCTCTTAAGGGCCCATGGCTTCTCTAAGCATTTGAGGATCCCGGGAACGAACAACAAGATTGCTGCTTGCAGCAACCTATGTTCGCCGTCTGGCCTAGAAAACGTAGATGGCTACAGTGATCTGGGATACGGCAGTCAGGGCATGCCGTAGCCACAGCTCGTTGTCTTCGATGTTGTACGCGGTTATGCAGTCCTGTCCACCAAGGTGCATCAGAAGGAAAGGCGCCCACAGCACCTCGAGGATGCTATTGCGGTTTGATAAGCTGTAGTCCCGCTTCTTCTGTCGATTGAAGAGGGTGGCGAGGGCATATATCGCCAGAGGATCGCTGACTACATACGCGATCCATATTAGGAATCTGTACAAGGAAGAGATGGCAAGCTTACGGCTGGAGGCAGAGACGAACAGGAAGTATTGGACAAAGAGGCTGCTGATGACGAGGATATGCAGCTGCCACTCCTCCCACCAATCCACAGCACCCGAGAGGCCCATCGATCTTTCTCAATAATCAGACGCGCAAGAATACAACACTCAGAGGCAGGTTTATTTCAAGCTCTGGCTCCTATCCTATGTATGCATTGCATATGCACATGGTTAGCGGTGACTATGGATCTGTCGCATGCCTACCTATCCACTGAATTTCTTATATCTGTTGCATCTTATAACTTATCTGCACCTGATGGCCTAGTTGTTTTATCTTGCTTACATGTGTATACGAACCAGCGGTAGGTACCGGGGCAGGACATGATCATATATTACTTGACTTGGACAAATACACAGCTTGATTCCTTAACCTCACCAGTGAATACTATAATGAACTGAAGTAAAGTAAGGTGGTCGCAGCTCTTAATTGATTACAGCGACTTCCTGCGGGTTCAGTTATATTTAGCTGGACCCAGCCTAATATTCATCTAGACTTGTCCTTGCATTAATGGACACCAGGAGTATGTGATTCGCACGAATCAATATTAATTCGATGACACCTACCTTCCACAACCGCTCAGGATGAGGAAGATAATGTACTGAACATAGAGGCTGCCCGCGAAATGAAAAACTAGCGGTACCGGTTTCTACCGGGTACGCGGAGGCGTCGGATCCATTCCTTGATTCGTGCGTACGGACCATGTCTGTACCGTGGGCAATGTATCAAGAGTGACCGAACGATTTTTTGTTGTGTGTATTCGAACACAATAGATAGAGTGGAGCCCACACCCTTAGTTAATTCATTGTGTCCACCTTTTACCTCCCTGCCTCACGGTACTCTTCGAGGAACTGCTGGATCGGCGCTGGTCCGCCGTATCGCACTTGTTGGCCTGAAGAGTCCATTGCCCCCTGTGATCGTTGAACTTCCAGTAACTTTCAGCATCCTTCATTTCATCCTCCCACCCTTTCTTCACGTACTTAATAACCAACTCTGTAATGGCCAATGATGAGTTACAGGGCTTCATGGTCCAAAGTTGGTCAACAAAGTCCTTGCATTTAAAGAAATTCTTCCTTGTGTGCCTTTTGTTGCGAGGTTATGTTTGAGTACACCAGTACTAACGGCCTCCATTGGTGTGTAATTACCAAGGCCTCTCATCTACTCCACCAGGTGCCCTAGGATAACTATATTTTTTTTGGCCCTTGTTGGTACAAGGCGATCATTTTTTTACCCACTGTCATTGTGTAGCACTTTCTTTTGCCTGCTCAAATAGGCCAGAGACCAGAGATGTCAAGTTGTTGGATGTTGAGTTGGCTGCCACTTGACCCTTTGGAGCAACCAAGAAAAACTGTAAACCTCCAGCACTGCAGTACAACAGAACAAGGCATAGGTAACTTTGACATCATTAGCATCATAAGTTTCTTTGTGACTCTTGTGGAAGAGGCTGATGGCCACCCATGGCAGGATCAAAGCTGATATCCATACGTAAGAAGAAAGAATTTCGAAGAAGTTTGGGTCTTCCTTGCACCGTTCTTCCCAAAAGCTGGCATCTTTCTTTTGGTATACAGAAGATCGAATGCGCTGAATAGGCTATCTTGCAAGAAAGCATATGCTTGTGCTTTATCAAGCAACCAGAGGGATTTTAGGATACCAAGCCGATCAGGATACGGTGATGCAAGGTCCACAAATAGCCCATACACCTCAAGCTCGGCATTATAGTCATCTTGGCTTGTACTTTTCCCCCTCTGTTGGTTTATGCGGCTTCTCATATTTTCCTTTATTTGGTTTAGGTGATTTCTCCATGCGCTTGAGGTCTGAGAAAGATTGTCGGGCTCAAGTTCCACCGAGGCGTCTTCTTCTTGTGCTCGACGTTGATTATCTGCCTCAAGGTCCATTGCATCGACTTCTACTTGTGCTTGAGAAAGATGGTCATCGGCCTCAGGGTTCACTGCATCACCTTCTTGCTCTTGACGACAAGGGTTACCTAGGACAAAAGCCCGTGCTTTTTGCACGTAGTCTTCAAGTGAACCGATCTTGTCTTCTCTGTTTGCGGTACTCCAGGGAGCAGAGTGGGAATAGCTGACTAGGTTGTTAATGCTAGCGCTCTTGAGAGTCCAGGGCTTCTCTATGCATTTCAGGATCCCAGGGACGAAGAACAGGATTGATGCCTGCAACAACCTCTTGTTGTCACCAGGCCATGATTTGCAGAACACGTAATCTTCAAGTGAATCGATCTTGTCTTCTCTGTTT